TTTCAGGCATAACATGTTACTTTGAGCTTAGAATTAGGAAAACTTAGTGGCATTGGAAAGAGAACTCAGAGATTTTTAATATGATAGGTTCTGGGACACCTAATTCATTTTGTGCTGAAAGATATCATTATTTGAAATTGACCCTAAACTCTATGTCTTACAACTCTCCTTGACGGATGACTGCACGGTCTGTGTGAAGCTTCACGGACCGTTTAGACATTTGTGATCCTTTATAGTAACCTTGTATAACACACTACAAACTAGGTGACTTGTACGACCCATTTGACAGGCCATCAAGACCACTACGGGTCATCTGGGGCACTGTCAAGGTGACCCCTGCCTGAGGCAGGTTCTAGAAATATTCACGAGCCCCTTAAAGGACTGTGGTCCTGTACACGACCCGTCTAGGGCTCCGTGGAGGGTTCCATGGTCAACTTTTGGGTTCTTGACTTTCCCGTTTAACCCCTTTCTAGCATTTCTCTAATCGGAGGTGTAACAATATCTCCCCCTTGGGAACATTCGTCCTCAAATGAGTTTCAAAACATCAAAAAAAGGTTAGGAACTAGACCTAGCAGCGCAACATGAATACAAATAACATAAATAAATATATCCAAGGAAGAAACTTCAACTCCAAGCTATAACATGTTCATAATATCATTTCATAAGGTTTATATGAAACTTGTACTCAAATGCACATAAACATGAAGAAATCAATCAAGCTAACTCATTTTCTCAAAAAGTCAAGTTTTTCATGAACATGCATAAATGTGGAATCATGGGAATATCTTAGACACATGAAACCAAAAGAGTAAACAATGAGGAACTTGATACCTCAAGCTAGAGTAGGGATGAAGGGGAAGAGGTGAGGATAACAGGATATCATATTATCATCGGCCTCCCAAGTAGCACCCTCAACTAACTGATTCCTCCAAAGAACCTTCACAGAAGCAATTTCTTTATTTCTCAATTTACAAACCTGCCGGTCCAAGATCTCAACTGAAACATCTTTATAAGAAATGTTATCCTTTATGCCAATACTATCCAATGGTAGTATAGATGTCGGATCACCAACACTCTTCTTCAACAATGAGACATGGAAAATTGGATGCACCGATGCCAAGTCATTAGGCAATTCAAGTTCATAAGCAACTTTACTAATACACCTCAAAATCTAATATGGGCTGACATAACGGGGACTAAGCTTCCCTTTTTTCCAAATCTCATTACACCCTTCATGGGAGAAATTTTCGAGTAGACCCAATCATTCACATCAAACTCAAGAACTCTTCTTTTAACATCGGCATAGGACTTTTGTCGACTTTGAGCCATTTTCAACCTTTCTCTAATAAGCCAAACTTTCTCCATAGCCTCATGTACCAACTCGGCACCTATCAACACAACTTCACCCACTTCAAACCAACCTATAGGAGATCTAAACCTCCTACCATATAGAGTCTTAAATGGAGCCATACTAATGCTTGAGTGATAGCTATTAGAATACGCAAATTCAATCAAAGGCAAATTATCATCCCAATTACCCTTGTAGTCAATTACGCAAGCTCTCAACATAACTTCCAAAGTTTGGATAGTACGCTCCACTTGCGCTTCGATTTGCAGATGAAATGCCGTACTAAGCTTAACACTAGCACCAAGCCCTTTTTGGAAAGATTTCCAAAACATAGAAGTGAATTAGGTAACACGATCGGAGATAATGGACAAAGGCACTTATGCAACCTAACCATTTCTCGCAAGAACAACTTAGCATATTCCTCCACCGAATAAGAAACCTTGACGGGGATGAAATGAGCCGATTTCGTCATTCGATCTACTATAACCCAAATCGAGTCATGTTGTTACCAGGTGCGGGGTAAACCAATAATGAAGTCCATATTCAGATCTTCCCACTTCCAAGTAGGAATACAGATATCTTGGGACAAACCTCCTGGCTTATGATGCTCAACCTTCACTTGTTGACAATTAGGCAACTTAGCCACAAATTCTGCAATATCCTTCTTCATCCTATTCCATTAATAGACCTCCCGCAAGTCACGATACATCTTGGTGGCTCCCAAGTGAATGGAATATCAGGAACTATGGGCTTCTAACACGATTTTCCCTCTCAAGTCATCTAAATTTGGAACACATAAAATACCTTGATATCGAAGTACTTGATAATGCTCAACTACACCTCTTATGATTCAAAGTGTAGGCAGTCGCTAACAAGTATAAACGAAACGAAGATTAGGGGTTGATCCCACAAGGAGAGATACAGTAAAAAATTCAAGTACGAAGTATTGAAGTATTCTAACTTCTTGTAGAACAGAAGTAATTAACACGTAACATAATGTAAATCAACTAGGTTTTAATTTTCAATATCAAGAGAGTTTGGTAACCAATTATTAACATAAACCAATAGTATGGAGTTTGAACAAGTATAAAGAGGGCCTTAGGAGTGTAAAGAGGGCCTTAGGAGTGTGTGAGTAATTGAAAACTAATTTTGCTTAATGGGTAATTATCAACTGCTTTAATTTGTTGAATCTCAATGGGTAGGATGGGTTATGAATATAACAACTATCTTTCAATCAGCTATCATGATTCGAGTGAGTCCTTCGAACCTCAACAAGCTTAGCAATACAAAACAACCTAATTCCTTAACTTAACCCACTTTATCAAGCTGGGTTGTAAAGACATAAGCCAAAACAATTATCAATTATTTATTCTAATCTACGCAACTTTCTCAAGCAAACATTGAGAGCTAAGACTAGAACTAGATTCGCAACTTCAGTTCATAGAGTAAATTATGAATAAATGATAGAACCCATTTCAAAACAATATTAAATATAACAATTAACAATACCCATAAGCTAATTTATGTATTCAATTACATAGTCACACCCCTAAGGAAATGGGGTTTAGCCTAACATAGAAAAAAGCAAGAAATCATTACCAAAAAGATGTTCCATTCGAAAGACGAAATCCCCAATGCTCAAATGCCAAAATTACGAGTTGAGCCTTAAAGCCTCAATAATTCTAAGCTCAAAAACCTCTCCAAGAGTATTCAATAATGTCAAAGTAAGTTAAAAAATCTCTAAAAACTCTGTAAGACACTTTTGTCTCTCTTCAAACATCAATTTATACGCTTCCAAAAACTTCCCAAAATTTCTGTACGCGGTCCACTTTGGCGAAGTTAGTCGGGATCGCTGAACGACTTGACGATCCGTCAACTAGCTCCTTCTCTCGCCTTTTGGCTTGACTTCTACACCTATTTGTTCTGTAAAGTTAGAGGAATTGGGTCAAGCTCGTCGTTTCATTCGGCGTTTCGGCAAAATGGTTTATCAATCTCCGAGTTTCTCTAGTTCATGCAAATAAACACTTTAACATTAGTTAAGGACACAAAACAAACATTGAGGACACTAATTCATTACATAACAAGCCCAAAATGAGTCAAAATTCCCTACTCATCAACACCCCAACTTAAACTTTTTCTTGTCCTCAAGTAAAACATAAGTTCAATCAGTCTACAGGTAGTCGTCCCTGAGACTCAACATAAAAGTGCACACAAAATTCAATTAAAAAAATGCAATGTTCAATTGTGCACTCAAAGTTTCCATCTATGACTCGTCATCATCAATTAGATTTCATGCTCACAAATGCTCACTTTAAATGCAAATTCATACCCAAAAATAGTATTATAAAGCCCTCACATTAAGAATGATTCCATGCTATTACAAATCCAATCAAGGATTACAATTTAGGAATCGAAATCAACTCTCACACTCGCAATGACAAAATACATGCATGCTTTTACCCATAGGCCTGCCCATATTTTCCAATCAACACATCACTTAGCCTATGAAAGATCAAAAAGGTCTTTTAAGGCATGTAATTGGGCTGAGGGCAAGGGTATTATCATTTCATCTTAGTGACTCTACCTTCATGAAGCATGGCTCATATTTCACTTATTTTCCTTTTCTTTTATTCTTTTCAATATTCACAACTCATCCTTGGCCTTTTAATAGAACAAAAACTTTTTGGTATAGCTCATCAGACACCCCTTTTAGTTCCACAACAATGCACACATATACAAAATTATTATTTTTTCAATTTTTTTCTTTTTTTTTTATATATGGAGGGGTTCCATCTTTTTCTTCACCATGTGTTCCCAAGGATCAATTTCACGAACTTCTTGCTTTGTTTCTTTTCTCATTCTTACCACACCCCCAACTTAGGGCTATTCAAACAAAACAATGCTTCATGAAGGTTATAGTTGGGAAGGACATGACCATTTCAACAACTGATTTAACATTTGCGTTCATATTTCATCTCAAGTAAAGGTTCAGCTCAAATGGTTACAAACTAGGTTCACACACTCACAAGATGGTCACAAAGAGGTATATCAATTTAGTTCACTCTCCAAAATTCATGCTTAAGATCATTTCCTTCATTCACCAAGGCTAGCCAATCGAACCAACGGGGCAAATTCTAGGTATCACATGCACAAATTTCAAGTAAACCTCACCACACATGGTATTCAACACAATCATCGATCATGACTCTACAAATTAAACTTGCGTGCAATGGTCATTGAAAGACTCACCTTAACATTCGACTAGTCACAATGACATGCTAAGAGTTCACACAAGACTTATGTAACTCAAATTGCCTCATTGGACTAACACATACATATCGTTCATAAAGTACACTATTCAAGTCATCAATATTGATCACAATCGACACTGAAATGTACAAGCAAACAATACCGAAATTCACATTCAAGCAATTGAAAGAGAGAAATCAATGAGATAAAATAACTACAACCAAAAGGGTAGGTAGCTAGATACCTTCGCCCCACCAAAAAAACTAAGTAGTGTCCTCAATACAAAATAAACTAAAAGTATCAACAACAAATGAAATGGAAAGAGAGTAAAGATCCCCCTGTCAGGCTAAGCCTGAGGTGAGCTCTGGGTCTCTAGAGTGGCCTCAACCTTGGCATTAGCGCCCTACTCATCTCCAACTCTGGAAGGCTGCGCAACGATCCCCTCCGTGGGCTTAGACTCACTAGAACCAACTATTAACGTATCATGAACTAAAGCCTCCATGGATACCTGTAGACAATCACCTTCCAAGTCCTCTAAATCCTCATACACTGCATCCTCACAAGCCTCTATCTCCTCATCATCAGTCTCGGGTGTGTCGGACTCCCCATCCTTATCAAATGCAGTAGCATCTCCGGTCACAGAAGCTAGAGGGATCTCAGACACATCTGGAATTATAGGCATCTCAGAACTGGGGTCCTTGGGGATATCTACACCTCCCCACAACATTGATATGTCAATGGATTTCAGCTCATCTACATCTTGACGCAAACAAGTAATATCATCCTTTAGGGTTGTCAAATCTGCAAAGTTGTGGTCTGTCTTCTCACATGCCTCAACCCGAGAAGTAAGGGCATCAAATGCTACATCGTAGGCCATGATAAACTCTTGATGCTCCCTCAAATCCTCCCAAATGGAAGTTAGTGCTGCAACTATCACTCAATCAATCATAGATGGAACAACGACCTCAACCCTAGAAGCCTGCACATCCACCGAATAGGCAAGGTTGCCCATTTTGTAGATCATGGCCTGGGTCAATGGAGGATGGGAGACAGGAGCAGGGGAAGGAGTAGTAGATTATGAGGAGCCTGGTATACTTGATGGCCCATTGGTCAGAGTGGAAGGTGTAGGGTCGACCTCAATAAAATCCAAATCAACAATCGGAGAGGTGTCCACCGAAGCTTTCTTTCTCTTTTCAGCCTCATCCTTTGTATACTCTACTTAAATTTGACGAATGGCACGAGATGAGGCAGGAGTTACCTCAACATCCGTCTTTGCCACAAAGGGCACACCCGCTCGGTTACATAAATCACTAATGAAAACTGTAAATGGTAATGAGGTTAATTTTTTTTTGGCCCTCATAGCCATCTCCTATGCAATTATGGACCCAAGATTTAACCGCTCCCGAGTGATGATACATCCTAGAATGGCAGCTTTCGGATGCCGGATGATGGAATCATTCCGGGATGACATCAAAGCGTTGCTAATAAACACAGACCAGTACCGTGCCGAGATGTTCATGTCCTTATTCTGAATAACTTCCCTCGCTTTGATCCATGAGGGTGTGACATCACACAACAATAGGGCAAGCCACCCTTTCAAATTCTCAAGAGACTTTGTTTTTACCATGTCAACCAAAGAGAGCCGAGTCTGAGTCATGCAGTTCAACTCATCATTTATGTCTGTCTCGTTGCACTTGACCTTCTTTCCGCGCACCTCACCAAAATCAACTGGTGCCATCGACCCTGCCTTCTCCTTGGGTGACCAACTTTTCATATCCCTCAAAGAATTTCCGAACCCATGTAGGCACATATGGATTTTGGGGTCTGGTGAACTACTGGAATTTATGGAACCTCAAGGTCTACCAAACAGTGGGGTATTTGTCCACCACACCGTCTATGGACAACCACTTCTCCTGGAATATTTTCCACAACTAACAACCTTTAACCAATTCATGGACCGAGGAGGATGTGCTGGAATATGAGGCACTTGTTGTGCCTGTGGTGCTGGAGGTGCTAAAACTTGTACTTGTGGATCATGAGCTACTTTAGAACACAACTCTGAACGCCTCTGCTTTAACAACTCTCCCTGTGGTGCCGATGTATGGACTGGAGTCCTAGACCCCTCAATTTCCTCATTCTCTGACCCAGATAAGGTGAGATAGGTGGAATCGATGCCCAAACTATTATCTGAACTTGAGTTGTTAACTACCTGCTTCTTTCCTTTTCCCATAACACTCGTCGAATGAGGTTTAAGACTAGTGGGTTGGGGAGTCTCAACCTCCGCTATGATAACAACTCATTTAGCCTTCTTTTTCATGACCCGAACCTACACACTGACGTGACACGGTGTACAAGACTCCGAAGAGCCTCATACAAGTCTTATATATTTCATAACATAAGACAATAGAATATGGTGCAGAAATTTAAAACCTTTTCTTTTACAATTGAAGTCATTCATAAATATGAGCGGAAGTCTATACTTTGTCTCAAACCATCTAGAACCATAAGCCAAAAAACCTTGGGACGCAACTCATACAAAAGCTCTAAACATAAAATATAAGAAATAAAGGAATAGGTAGGTTTGTCATCGAAGCTATGAGGACTCACCAAATCTTCAACTCCTTGCACCTTAGAAACCTATCTTTCAAGAATAGAACTTAAGTCTCCAAACCCTACACTTTGTAAAAAATGTAGAAGAAATATGGGTTAGCACAAATATGTACCAAGTATGATAGCCATGCAAAAATCATGCTAAAAAGGACATTTTGGTTGAAAACCATGTTATATGTCAAGTTTGAGAATCATCATGCATTATTAGTATAAACATACAAGACATAAGCATATTCATCATGTAAGTCATTAGAATATAATAGAGCAATCATAAAAGTAACCCTAAGTTATACTTGTGCACTGTATGAATGGTATCCCATAATACCATTCATACTAAGTACCACTTTGAGGCCACCATAACATACTTACCATTCTTCATTCACCTCTTTAGTCAATAATCATAGACAAGGAACATTCACATTCAATAAGGCATGACAAGGAAAGCAACTCATATTAACATTTCCAAGTTAAGCATTCATCATTACATTAAGCCTTTAAGTCAACATTGTCATTAGCTTCATATGAGCACATCCATTTCATTAGACATTAGGACATTAGAGAAACACACCATAGCCCTCTCAGAGCCTCCTCGTGCAATGCATGAATGGCATCCCATACTACCACCCACACTTCATAGAACCTTGAGTAACCATAACATGTATCTCACATGATGAGAATAAGCATTAACCGACATAGACCATGTGAGCAAACCATGGAATCCAGTATCTATCCCACACCGTAAAGGGTTGGTCTACTTGCCTAAGGTAGGACCGATAATATTTTAGCTTAGGTGGATCCACTAGCTAATAACCTATGTGGGCACATAGTTATGGGATATGAAAGATGTTCATTGAAACCCAGCCTAACATGGGGAGAGCTTCCATATTACCATATCCACTCGGTGCTAAGCTTACATTCCCATAAAGTAGTTCATTACTTTAACATTATTACACATGAGAGGGATGCCATTGGCCTACCGACCCAAGGTACATTATTACACACATGAAAGGGTGCCATGAGCCTACCGATTCAAGGTACATTATTAGGATAGCTCATTGAATCCTCATGAAAGGCCATAGGCCTACTAATTCAAGGTTCATCATTATCATTCATGAAAGCGTGCCATTGGCCTACCGATCCAAGGTACATCATTATAGTCGTTCATAGACTCATCATTGATGCTTATCGTGACCAATGACACTAACCTACGGTACGAGTGTCTACGATCATCGATAATATAGTAACCCAACCAAGGGTTGGGGTCGTGTCCCAAGGGAGTGATTTTGATAATTAGTAGAAAAATAAAATTATGTTCTAACTATTCATAGCTAAAGACATTAACTATTAAACACATTGTAAATTAAAGGAGGTGACACAAAAGTGTCAAATATCAAATGGGGGTTTCGTCACAAGTAGTAAAAACAATAAAAATAACAAGAAAATCAAGTATGGGGACAAGTTCTTGGGGTGTGACCGCAATACAAGTTGAGATAAATCGTTGGGTACATGCTTTTGACAGGAAATTTGCAAGATAATAGTGACTAGGTTAAGATTTAGATGGAAATAAGTTCCCTCTCGGGCAACTTACCCTATTTCTAATGCGTTCCTCTCGGACACCCATTTTTCGCATGAAGGCCAGCCTATGCCTTACCCCACTCACTCTCTCGAGCTGAGTGTTAGGATATGGGACTAGGGCTCACCCTCTCGGGCTGAACCTTCTGTCGACCCATTCCTTAGGCCATCAGTCCAACGATTTTGGTTTCACGGCCTCCCTCTCGGGCAAGCTGAAAACACATGGGTGGTTTTGTATTTGCAACTACAAACCCATTAAATTAAACCACAACCACTAGGTGAAATCACCATTAAAATACATCTAACCTATCATCAAGCAAGACCCAACAAAAATATCAACACATATTTGCTAAATCACACCCTAAGAATGAGGTTTTTAGCCACACATCAAGAAATAACAAAATACACCTAAAATGATACTAAAATATAATGGGTAGAAGGAATTAAACCTTTATTTAAGCAAAGGATAAAGAATGGAGAATACCCACTTCCAAGTTGGGGAAGATGAAATCCTTCTTTCTTCAAGTCTCCCAAAAACCCTCTCCAAACATTGGAGAAAATATCCCTAAAAGTACTATTGTATTGTGAAAATTAAAATAAATTTTTGAATCCCTAAATTTAACAAGAAGTTTAGTATTTATAGACTTCTGAAAATAGTCCTGGCAGATCTTTCGCTGAGGTCAGTCTGAATCGTTGATTAACTCAGTGATTCGCCATTTGGTGTAGTTCGTCGCCGTCTTGCACTAGCCTTCAGCATGGTCATGCTCTGTGCCATTGGGTGAGATAGTAATGCTTCGTGGAATTATTTGGCGAAACGCCGACTGCTCCTTTCATCGCCTTTTTGATCATGCTCCTTCAGGGCTTCGCGTACTGGAACAAACGTCAGAGTGCGTCGCTTCAGCGAATCGCCAAGTGTGCTTGGCGATGCTCAGGCTTCAGCTTCCTCGTTCTTTTTAGCCTTTTTGTTCTTTTTTGCGCCTAAGTGTCCATGCTTCCACTAAAACTTCAAATACCTTAAACTTAAGAGTTTTCATCAGATATTGAGACAAAATAAACATTTGAGGACACTATTTCTATCAAAATAAAGTCCTAAATGAGTTCAATTTGTGGACTCATCAATCATGCAAGGGCTACCACCATTAGGTCTACCGATTCAAGACAAAGCCTAGAATACTTCATTAATCATTTATGAAAGGGCTACAACCATTAGGTCTACTGATTCATTGTTCATTATGTCAAGATACATTAGTTACACAAGAAGACGATGCCTAAGCCTACCAATTCAAGATGTAGCATTACATTGAAGAAACCTTTCACATATATCATCATCATTCATAAGTGTATAATTGAGAATAACCTTTCAATAATAACACAATTGAATTCTAGACATGATCACATTACTTTCATTGAAATCACAAAGCATATACATAGCATCATGATTATACATCAATCCTTCATAATTTGCCCTCCAAGGCTATGAATCAATCTCCACCCAAACATCTAAAATTATATGTTAGATAAGGGGAATATCATGATTCAATAAATCAATCAATATAGATATAGTTACATAACATGCTTATGTAATCAATCAACCCACATCATAAATTCACAATTTAGTGTTTTGTGGGAATCATGGGTTAATGGAGGAATTTCATCATAAAACAACATTAATTCCTTAATTCAATCATAATTCAT